AATCTAATCACATCTTCAAAGCCCCACCTTTCAGTTACCATAATAAGATTTCCCACCCTCTTAACAGTCACAGTGGGGACCAAGTTTCTAATACATAAAACTTGGGGGACACAATTCAAGCTTTGGTGAGTTTTGGGGGGATGTAATTTGAACTACTACATGAACCAACATAATTAACAAGAATAACTACCTAGAAATATTATGCCTAGTAAGTTTGAAATGGTGTGTCCTCTTTTAGAGATTTGCATAAGTAATTTTCCTAAGATTCACTTGGGCTATGTACATAGCAGAAGATAGCTTTAATATGAATATAACCTCAACTACAAAATCTATGCTTATGGCCAAGTAATTAACCAGATAATTTCTTTATTACAAAATCAGACAAAATGATTGTTTCAATGTCCCACATTTTACAATTGATTCATTTTTATAATGTGGATGATTATAATGCAATAATTTCCTGTGAGAAAAAGCTTACATCACTGGTGCTTCCTATTTTGTAGGAGAGAGTTAGATCAGGTGTCTGAGATTTGATTCTTATTAGGCAATTATCAATCTGCCAGGATTCATTTCTTCATCCCCTGAGGACTGTTTATGTATTTGGAATTCCTCATTCTTGTCTTCATTAGTGAATTCTAGAACACTGAGTGAAAACAGCCTGCAACCCCCCTTCTTACAGCTTTATGGAAGTGTTAAAATATGCAAGAACTGGGAGTCCTAAAGAGGGAAGACAAACATTCTACAACCAAATGTGGAAGAAATGTTTTATGGTACTGCTGACTTCTTTTTAAAGAATACATTATATTTTTTAGAAGGCTGCATTTGCACAGTAATGATTTAAAAATACTTAGCTAACATTGATGAAATAAATAGTTTCCCAGTGGTGTGAAACAATTTGATCAAAGAGCATCTGGGCTCTAATTCCTATGCATAATAGGGCCTGAATTAAGGGGCTATAGAAGCCCTAAGTAAATGCTTCCTCTCACATTCACATCCTCACTTTGTGGGAGCACATTACGTTTTCTTAGTGCATGCTTTTTTTTTTTCTTTTCTCAGTTGGATTTTCTTCATTTTTTCTGAAGGTCATTTAAAATGGAAATTTGATTCTGTCAGTACTTAATTTCATTTTCACATTTTTGTGTGATTCTTCATCAACTTCAAAGGAATTCTTTTACAAAGCTACTGAAACCTTGGCCACCTTCTCACCTACAACAAAACTCTACTGCCCACATGGGATGTTTAAAATTCTTAATTACAACTTATCCAAGAGTCTACTTAGCCAACTGCAGCTGGAAAAATGTGTACTCATCCAATGGTCAACTGCAGGAGATTGTGAATAAGGTCACCATCTCCAATAGCCTTTGAATCGTAAATATCATAAATGCTGTGAAAAATGACCCTTTGCACATGCTAACAGATCATTTCTAATATGTAGACACCAGAGAGTAAGCAACAATAGACACTTCTGTTCTTCCATGAGGGAAAAGGATGAATGACTCCTTGTGTTTTATGTTTTCAAACTTTCAGGTGTCTTCCTTGGCAAAAAGAATATGAAATCACCAGGGTGATTTTTCTCTTTGATGGTTTTGTGGCTCAGTGAGGCAAAACGCATGTAAGTTATTTAAATACAAATGGATTGATAAATCTACATGCCGGGCTGTAGCTCAGGGTGAGGCAAGCAACTGAGGTTTTAAATCCCACTCTTCTCTTCCCAATTGTTTATAATGGAAAAACTGAGACTGCATGCCACCAGGTGTAGCCTTAATGTGGTACTATTAGAGCTGGAGCTTCATTGTCAGAAAGTTCATTTAAATGTCCATAAAACCATCCTGATACAAAGAATGAACTGTAATAGCTTATAATTATGATAGTGCATAAAGCATGCCTCACAACCTATTACAAAGCCATAATTTTAGCATAAAAACCATAAACCAGGAGAACAAAACTTGAGAACTTCAAAATAAAATTACAGCTTTTGTAACGGCCCAATAGAGCATACCTTTTTTCCTCCACAATAAATGATTGTCTTGTCTGCCTCCCACATGCAAAACAAAGGTAGATTTCTGATTTTTGAGACTTTACACTATAGCACTTTCCCAAAGGTATCTTACAACTGGAGCACTAAAACATTTTCAAAAGGGATTTTAATACCCATTAGAATGAGATCTGGTTCGGGTGGAAGGATGCTTATTATTCACTCACGTCAAAATGGAGAAATTAGCAGGAAAGGCTTTTGTGCTTAGCCTGCTTAAAAATCTCCCTCCTGTCATGAGGTAGAGGAAATGTCTGTTTTGATCATCAAACCAAAGCAGTTAGGACTGAATAAGATTTATTAGTCTTTATGTGAACAGAGGAAAGTGCACATTCAAGAACTGTATTTTATGAAAATAAGCATAGTCTCATTGCCAGAATATTTAACTCCTTGTCAGTTTTCTTGATCCATTTTTAGGGTATTTTCAAAGCACCCTGATTTTTTCTCTTAGATTATATACCATTTACCTGACATTAATAAGCCAAAGTGACCTTTATACCTAATCATATATTACACGCACACATATAGACACACAAACACACACACTCACACACACACCTCTCCTAAAGTGAAAAGTCAAACTATGCATGCTTTCAAGTACACTTCTAAAACATGCCATTTGTTATAATTTTTGAAATGATATTGTACATAAGAAACAGAATTAAAATCCCCTACAATTTCATCACCAAGAGATAATTCTGCTTAATATTTTCGAATATTTCTTTTGAGCATGCATTTCTCAAAACATTGTTAAATTGTTTATATAGTTTTATATGTTATTATTCAAATAATACATCACGATCATTTTTATATCATTAAAATTCTAACACACCATTTAATGGTTGTGTAAAACCCCATTATATAAGTTCATTATAATTTATTTAGTTCTTTTTTCAGACAAATATTTAGATTGTTTACAATTTTCTAATAGTAGACGTCATGCCTTTATCTACATATGTACAGTCATGTGCTGTGTAACGATGTGTGGTCAATGACAGACCAAATATACGATGGTCACATAAGATAACAATGGAGCTGGAGGTGTTTAGTAGGCTATAGCATCTAGGTTTCTGTAAGTACACTGTATGATGTTCCCACAATGACAAAATCACCTAATGATGCATTTCTCAGAACACGTCATTCAGAGATGCATGACTGTATATACATATATATGTATAATGTCTACATATATATGTGTGCATATAATATGAATCTGTCTACTGTATTATTTTGGGGCCAATTTTAAGAAGTGAGGAAAAGAAGAGAAACATTTTTTAGGTGTTAATATGAATTTTTAAATTGAAATGAGAAATTTGGAGGGTTTTGTTTATCACATTGTTTTTTTTAAGATGATTATTCAGACATGGAATATATTAGAATTTCTCCTAACTATAAACCTTAATATAATGGTACTATATGTTGACAATTATTAAATCCTCTCCAGTTTGTACTGTCTGTGGTAGAAACTATGGTCTTGCTCTAGACCTGTGGGATCCAGTCCCAGAGAGGAGTAATTTGGCTAATACCTGAGGAGAGAGCCAGGCCACCCAGGAAGGTGAAGAAGACTTGATAACATGGGTGTGGGGAGAGAGAAGTTTTAAAGTGAGGGCTAGTGAAAGTTAGAGGATTCACAGCCCATTATTTTCCATTTCCTCCTGGCCATGAGATTAGGCTTTTCCTTAAGGAAAGGTAGGAGCCTTGAAATGTAAATGTCTGGAATTGTCCGTGTAGGGGAGTAGAAGACAGGACAGAAAACATGTCAGTGACAAACTATGTTAGTCAGGGTTCCCCAGAGAAACAAAATCAACAGTATATAAATAGATATACAGAAAGAAATTTATCATGAGGGATTGGCATATAAATGCTGAGAAATCCCATGATCTGTTTGTAAACTGAAGCCCTAGGAAAGCTGGTGGAGTAATTCCAGTCCAAATCCAAAGACCTAAGAGTCAGGTGAAGATGGATGTCCCAGCTCAAGCAGAGAGCAAATTTGCCCTTCCTCTACCTTTTTGCTCTATTCAGGCTCTTGAAATTGATTTGATGATGCTTACTCACATTGGAAAGGGCAATCTTCTTTACTCAGTTTATCTTTTCCGGAGACAACTTCCTAGATACACCCAGGAATAGTAGTTTACTAGCTACCTGGGCATCCCTTACTTAGCCTAGTCAAGTTGACACATAAAATTAACCATTACATAAATCTTGCCAAGCAGCATTGGAGTTCAAGCTGAAGTTCAAAGACATAACATCAAAATAGCATCCACACAATCATATTTTCTCCCATGGTGACTGGCTACTCACAGACACGATAGATTCAGTGATGTAGGTTTAAGAAACTGCAGAACATGTGTGACAGAAGGTCAAGAAGAGAGGGGCTTAGTGAACTGGCAAGAGGAAATTTGACATGAAGGAGGGTAAAGGCTAAGTTGAGTAAGGAAGAAAGAGTACAATAGACTGTGAGCCTGGGGTTGAGGGAAGGGCTGAGGGATGCGGGTTGCTGGATGACATCAGGTGAGCAACGGCTGTAAGTGTGAGGTGGTGAGAGGCAGCCCTGCCAAACCTATTTCACTGCTGTCTCAGTGTGTGTAAAGAGTGGATCGTAATAGCTCATAAGTGGAGAATGCAACATACCAATTAGATCATTCACTTCTTCGGTCAAAAAACAATTACTGCACACCCACCATGGGCCAGGAACTGTTCTAGGCCCTGGGGATACAGAGGTGAACAAAACAAATCTCTTGCCTTCATGGCACTAGAGGCCAGTTGAACAATGGAAGATAAACAATAAATGCACAAAGTATGCATCTGACAAAAAATATGACAGATGGCAATGAGAAAGCAGGGAGGACACTGAAGAGACTGAGTGACATGCAGTTTACAATTTTAAGTATCATAAACAAGGAAGAAGAATAGGAAAACCCGATCAGAATGATGTGAAAGAAGAGATGATGCCATATAAGTAGACTACCAGTGACAAATGGGTCAAACATGTGGCTTTCCAAATTGTCATCCGGATTTTGATTACAGGCATCATATCTTGGAGATATCATGGGTTCAGTTCCAGACCACATTAATAAAGCAAGTATCATAATAAAGTGAGTCAAAACAATTTTTTTGGTTTCCCAGGGAATATAAAGGTTATGTTTACACTATACTGTAGTCTGTTAAGTGTGCAATAGCATCATCTAAAAAAATGATGTATGTACCTTAATTGAAAGTATCTTATTGCTAAAGGATGCTAAGGATCATCTGAGCCTGCAGTGAGTCATAATCTTTTTGCTGTTGGAGGGTCTTGCCTCGATGTTCGTGGCTGCTAACTAATCAGTATTGCTGAAGGCTGGGGTGGCTGTGGCAATTTTAAAAAATAAAGCAATGAACTTCACACATAGATTGACTCTTCCTTTCATTTCTCTGTAGCATGTAATGCGGTTTGATGGCATTTTACCCACAGCAGAACTTCTTTCAAAATTGGAATCAGTTCTCTCAAACCTGCACTGCTTTGTCCACTAAGTTCATATAATATTCTAAGTGTTTTACTGTCATTTCAACAACATTCACAGCATCTTCACCAGGAGTAGATTCCATCTCAAGAAACCACTTTCTTTGCTCACCCATAAGGAGCAACTTCCCATCCATTAAAGTTTAATCATGACATTGCAGCAATGTAGCCATATCTTAAGGCTTCTCTAATTCTAGTTCTCTTGCTATTTCCACCGCATCTGCAGTTAATTCCTCAGCTGAAGTCTTGACCCCCTCCAGGTCATCCATGATAGTTGGAATCAACTTCCTTCAAACTCCTGTTAGTGTTGATATTTTGAACTCCTTCTCTAAATCATAAATGTTCTTAATGGCATCTAGAATGGTGAATTTTTTCCAGAAGATTTTCAGTTTATTTTGTCCGGATCCATCAAAAGTATCAGTATCTATGGCAGCTAGAAACTTATGAAATGTATTTTTTTAAATAATAAGACTTGAAAGTCATAATTTCTCCTTGATCCGTGGGCTGCAGAATGGATATTGTGTTAGTGGGCATGAAAACAAAATTAGTCTCCTTGTATGTCTCCATCAGAGCTCTTGGCTGACCAAATTGTCAATGAGCAGTAATATCTTGAAAGGAATTTTTTTTTCTGAGCAGTAGGTTTCAATAGTAGGCTTAAAATACTCAGTCAACTATGCTGTAAATGGATGTGCTATCATCTAGGCTTTATTTTTCCATTTTCAGAACACAGGCAGAGTAGATTCAGCATTATCCTTAAAGGCCTTAGAATTTTCAGAATGGCTTCAACTTAAAGTCACCAACTACATTAGCCCCTAAAAGAGAGTCATTCTGTCCTTTGAAGCTGTGAAGCCAGGCATTGACTTCTCCTCTCTTTCTGTCTGTGAAAGATGGCATTGCCTTCCAATAGAAGGCTGTTTCATTTACATTCAAAATCCATTGTTTAGTGTAGCCACCTTCATCAGTGATCTTAGCTAGATCTTCTAGAAAACTTGCTGCAGCTTCTACATCAGTATTGGCTGCTTCATCTTGCACTTTTATGTTAAGGAGACAGCTTCTTTCCTTCAACCTCATGAACCAATGACTGTTAGGTTCAGACTTTTCTTCTGCAGCTTCTTCCCCTCTCTCAGCCTTCACAGAATTGAAGAGAGTTAGGCCTTACTCTGGATTAGACTTTGGCTGAAGAGAAAGTTGTGGCTGGTTTGATCTTCTATTCAGCCCACTAAAACTTTCTTATCAGCAATAAGGCTGTCTCACTTTTTTATCATTCGCATGTTCACTGGAGTGGCATTTTTAATTTTCTTCAAAATTTTCCCTCTGCATTCACAACTTAACTGTTTGGCAGAAGAGACCTAACTTTTGACCTGTCTCAGCTTTTGACCTGTCTTTCCTTACTAAGCTCAATCATTTCTAGCTTTTGATTTAAATTGAGAGATGTACAACTCTCCTTTCACTTGAACACTTAGAGGCCATTGTAGGGTTATTCATTAGCTTATTTTCAACATTGTTGTGTCTCAGGTAATAGGGAGACCCGAAGAGAGGGAGAGAGATGGGGAAATGGCTGGTTAATGGAACAGTCAGAACACATAATATTTATTGATTAAGTTTGCTGTCTTACATGGATGCCATTGATGGTGTCCTAAAACAATCACAGTAGTAACATCAAAGATCACTTAGCATAGATCACCATAACAAATATAATAATAATGGAAAAGTCTGAAATATTGTGAGAATTACCAAAATGTGACACAGAGACCCTAAGTGAACACACACTGTTGGAAAAAAATGGCAATGATAGACTTGCTCCACATAGGTTTGCCACAAACCTTCAGTTTGTAAAAAACACAATCTCTGCAAAGCACGATAAAGCAAAGCTCAATAAAAAGAGGTATGCCTGTTGTTGGAACTCAAAATTCCTTTTCCCAAAGAGATAAGGTCATTAATTGCAATTGAGGATCTAGGAGATCCTCACAACCCCCCACCCTCACCTGGAAGCTTCTTTAACTTGTAATGTATAGGAAATACCGCCCTTTATAGTCCTGAGCTTCAAATCCCTTCAAGTTTCTCTGGTCCCCACATCTAGATGTTTCTTTGAGTGCTGAGGAAAGAAGGCAGTTTGGTGGGCATTTCTCATTACATTACAGCTGGGGGAAGTCTTGGTCAGCAGAAAAGTCAAAAGAGGAAAGACAGGAGGTGAAGACCTTGGCAGCATTGGTAGCAGTGTCTCCATTTGGAAGCCTGGTGTTCAGGATAAGGGATACCTGTCCTTGCTGTTTTACCACAAAGCCCAATGCTCAAGGCTTTTTAGTTAAGAAGGACACAAGCCAAACCATCATGATGTACTGTTTGTTCTATTCAGTATCATTTATGCAACAAATAACTATGGAACACCTATAGGCAGCTCTCAGAATAATTACTGAACAACAGGATCCCTGCCATGTGAGGTTACATTCCAACAGAATAAATAGGGCAATAAACCATCAGCAGAATAAATTGTACATATAGACTGTGATGTGAGAACCATGAGTTAGGTAGTAGTAAGACTTAGTGAGAGCCCCCAAACCTGATCTATAGAATTAGGGACCTGGGCTTCTTCAGTTTTCACCACTTAGAGATATTTTTCATGTCTCTAACTGCAGTATAGAGACAGATGAAATTTGTGGATGTGTTACTGATATATAACAGTAATCTGTGGATCTGTATATTTTGGATTGAGTTTTTATCATATGCTTAAAAAATGATTTGGAGTCTAAGAATTCTGGAGAGCAGATTTGCCTGTTTTTAAAAGCTTGTCGATACGTAGGGAAAAAAAATTAAGATGTTTTAATAACAATTTTTAGTCTTTAATTACTCCCAATGAGAGAAAAAGTTGACTGCCAAGATACATGTCTTTAAAGTGATTATACCGAACATGTATGATAATCATTCCATTTTCTCAATGGTTTTATTGCATTAAGTTTGATCTCCTTTTCCAGGAAAACAGAATTTATAAGACTTATGGCAGTATACCCAGTAATTTATAAACATTGCCTTCCTAGTTAGCCAGTCTATATATGAAGGAGTTATTTAATTCTACAATGTACATAGTTAGGGTGTAAATTTATTTTTCCATTTCCACAGCCCAAATGAACCACTTGTGATCATTATTGTAGTTTTTCACCACTGCTCCAAAGGAACTTTTATCATGTTGAGTTCTTTTCAGAGAGGTAGGTATTTTAAAATATGCAAGTAGAACAGGGCAAACAGAGGGAACATATGCTCAATGACACTCAAAAATATCTCAGGAATGACATAGGGATTTTAATAAAACAAAAGTATTTATGAGTATCAATATTCTAAAAAATATTGTTCAATGTAAATGAGCTCTTCAAAGTGAAATTTTTTAGAAACCGCATCTAAAGATTTTGAATACCTGATCTCACAACCCAAGAGGAATTTCATCTGCTCACAGATACACCATTGAGTTGAGAACTTGGCTAAAGTCTTGCAGATCTGTTCCCTGGCTCTCTTTTCATCTCTCTAATTTCTTCTAGTTTATTTCATTAATTTCTCTTCCTCACCCTTTTTTATAATACTGGTATTTTCTGGGTTTGTTTGTTATTTATTTTTACCATTCTCTCTTCCTGTGCACAATTCCTGAGTAAAATCATTTACTGTCATGATGTTCACAGCCACTGTCTCTCACCTCCCTCTGCCTCCTGTGTGATCTGCACTTCAAACTGCATTTTGGGTATTTACTGACACTAGGGTGACAAATCATCTCAGTTTGCCTGGGACTGTCCCAGTTCTAACACTGAAAGTCTTGCATCTTGAGAAAGTTCCTCTTCCAGATGTGCAGAGTCCAGGCTTTGGGGGATGGGCATAGAAGTTTAGGGGGAAGGTACAAAACTCATACAGCACCCCCAAAAGTTGAGGTGGAAAGCAACATTGTTCTTAGTGTTGAATGGGTATGGCTTAGATTATCCACTTTGCAATGCTGCTGTCACTTTTCTTCCCCCAACCAATGGAGTTGGTGCATGATTTCTGGTTTACAATAATGGATCACAAAGTGTTGCTCCTCTTCAAGAGCTGAGTCCTAAGTGAACAACTTAAGTGGATTGCAATCATGAGTGTTAACAATCTGTCTTTGACTTTGTCAGTGGATTGACTGTTGTATTTGTATTAAGTTAGAGAAGTTTAGTTTATTAAATGTCAAATACCTAAAACATCCGCTTGAGAGAGCTATACCATTGATTTTATTCCATGAATATGAAGAATATATTTAAATTTTAAAAAATAATAATTTCTCAGTGCATTGGGAGAGAATGGCCTCTATTCATAGGAAAATTTTCTGTGGATGCGCTAGTAGTGGACTAGGCTAATACATTTGCCTTACTCAGTACCAGATCAAAACAAACTGTGCTCTGATTTACCATGAGATTAATAGATTACTTTAATCTGATTCTGGTTCTGTGTGACTGCAAGCCACAGAGGATCAAAATGACAACAATTTAATAGGCAATATCTGTGGCTGGTTTTCTTGGTGAACAAGACAAGTGTGAAAAAAATGCCATG